ATAGTCCGTGGTGGTAACCTTCCCAAAGAAACCAACTAAGAGAAAAATCTGATTCGATTAAGGATTTTATTTTAGCCTCCTAGAGGTTAGCAGCCAAAAAGGAAGATTAAGGGATAGAGTATCCTGCTGGGTATATACATACAATCCAGAAGCTCAAAAGGATCAAGGATGAAAATCAAGGGGAGCAATCCTGTTGGATATATACATACATATGCATTGAACCTAACTTTCACTGGTTGACAATTTTATAGAAAAACATATGATATCCTATATGTATCGAACGAGTTGACGTGCACTGCTAGCTCATTCACTTGAATTGAAAATCAATAGACTAGAGCGTTTCCAAATTTGAAATCATAAAATCTGAACAGAAACATAGCATCCATTTCCAAAGTTTGAATTGGAAGAGGAGATGACAATCATCACCATCACTGGTGATCGAAAGTAAAAGAAGAGTGCTATAATTGTACATACACCCAAACGAAATCACGTCCATGTATTGCATTTCTTGAGTAGTCTAGAGCTAGAATTTTCTGCATTATATCAGTAATGGCACAGAGTTCCTTAAGAATTTCCAAATATCTATAATAATTTAAAATGTCATATATATCAGGTTGTTAGAAATGGGACTACAGAGCATTCAATTTCTTTTTCCCTCTTAATATTCTAGATATCCCTGTTACTGACTCTTAAGGAACCAAATTGTCTATCTGTTAACATGAACTGGACTGTTATTTTGGTTCAATTTTTCACTTGCTTGGAGGCCTACTAATAAAAGACGAGATAAAAATATGTTTCTTTTGCAAAGCGACAAACCAGCACACTTATAATCTTTAGTAAACTGTCTCCTACATTCTTTTTGAAATTTCTTAATTTGTTTTGTGGTTTACGGTGCTTGCTTCTAATCTTTGTGCCTTTCAGGTTCAAATCTTAGAGGGCTAGCTCATTAATTTTCAATCTCTTTCTTATTTTTGTATAAATAATTTTTTGTTACTTGTAAAAAAGATGACATGTGAATGCAGATTCAAGGTAGAGTATATCATTTTAATAGTGTTAAAAAACGCTTCCAATAAAAGGGTTGTGGGAGAAGCAATAAGGAAGGGTGGATGAAATAATAGATGTGTCTACATTTGGCAAATTTCTCACTTGAGGAAAAATAAACATTCTTATTAATGCTGTTCCTTCAAACATTTTTCTTCTACATATTTCTATTTTATCTTTCAGGGAAAAGCACTGTAGCTTGCTCATTGAGTAGAGAGCTTCATGCGAGAGGGAAGATTTCTTATGTGCTAGATGGAGACAACCTTCGACATGGACTAAACAAGAATCTTAGTTTTAGTGCTGAAGATCGCGCTGAAAATATTCGCAGAGTTGGTAAGTATGTTTCCTTTTGAGGTAGTATTCGAATTTGACTACAACATTCATCAGGATCTTTATTTCATGTTAGATGAACCTAAAAACAACATCCACCATATAACTTGTCTAATTTTATATCATGTGATGAATTTTGAGCATCACAGTGCATATGTTTCTGTTGTAATTTGTCTCACTGAGTTGGTAGTTACTATTCCTTTGAAAGATTATTGTTTTATGAGAATATTTGTTGTAAGAGGAGGAGGTTAGTGTGAAGGAAACAAGGAAACTGTTAGAATGGCTTGAATCTAGTACTTGACACTAATAGTGGTTTTGTAATTACTTATAATTGGGTATCAAGGAGTCCTTTTATTATAGCTCATGGCATAATAAAACCCTGGAGAGCATCTCTAGACATCCCGAGTCTTCGTGCTCAAGAGTTTTGCTAAACCTGCCTTCAATTTTCATATAACACACGGTTTTCTTGTTATTTACTACTAAAACGTGTTTATGCATATTTCAGATATCTAATATCCTCTCCTTGTTTGGGTGTCCAACACAGGGGAAGTAGCAAAACTTTTTGCTGATGCTGGTTTAATATGCATTGCTAGTTTGATATCTCCATATAGAAGAGATAGGGATTTCTGCCGTGAATTATTGCCTGAGGCAAACTTTATTGAGGCAAGATTTTAGTAATGACTGAATCAGATATGTAAATATTGTTTGTCACTGAACATGGAATTCCCCTTTGTTCAGGTGTTCATGAACATGCCTCTAGAATTATGTGAGGCAAGAGATGCAAAGGGCCTTTACAAACTCGCCCGAGAGGGAAAGATCAAAGGTATACTTGAAGAATCCATTTCTTGTCTTGCTCCCTAAACCACTTGCAGATAGAAAAGAAAGCGAAAGATCACATTGCACTGTATTGCAGGTTTTACTGGGATCGACGACCCGTACGAACCGCCTCTGAACTGCGAGGTAACAATATCACAAACCATACATGCTTATCAAATCCTTGTTCAACATTTTCATTTCTGTAGTAATATCAAGTCCAATATAGCTTTATAAAGCTTGTACCTGATGCTCTTCCAGATTGAATTAAGGCAGAACGATGGAGTCTGCCCGACCCCGTGCGCCATGGCAAAGCAGATAGTGGCTTACTTGGAGGAAAAAGGATTTCTTGAAGCTTAGTTGCAACCGTTGCCTCGGCCACCTGTTGGGTACGTCGATGTCTGATGGGAAATGTGTTTAAAGAATAGACTGATAGGCAATAAGTACATAATATAAGAGGAGGTTCCTTGAACAAGGAATAGAAGATGTAATTTTAGAAAAAAAATGTAAATCTGATATCTCTGGAAAGAAGTATTATGATAGAGAGATAGATGATGTTGGTTTTATGAAATTGCTCACTTATTCAATCAGTTAGTATTGGGAATGCTTCTGACTTGTCTTAGGTTGGACCAAACTGAAAATTTAGTGTCATAATTCATTATTTATTTGGAAATTTGTTTGTAACTAGTGAACAGTGAATAGTGAAAACTGAGAATGGGAGACAAGCTCTGCAGATACAATGATACTATGTATTGGGCTACTACTGTGAGTGGGCAGGCCTATGCGTAGTGCAGTGGAAAAAATATGCCTGGGCCATGAAGTTGGCTTCGGCTCTCTCGCTGCAATTTCTCTCTCTCTCTCTCTCTCTCTCTCTCTCTCTCTCTCTCTCTCCCTCTCTCTCTCTTAATTTAATTGGGTTGGGTCAAATTGATCCGGTTCTTCGCATATTTAACCTTAAAAAAATAAAAAATAAAAAAAAGAGAGAGATTATATAATCCAACCCACCTCTAATAATTCGGGTTAATTGGTTGGAGTTCTATGTATGAGTGACAAAGATGAGGTAATTCTAGAATTGGAATTATTTAAAAGAAATTAAGAGATGCAACCTAATTTAGAAAATTTTAATTTAAAATTTTGTTTTTATATTTCTGACTTAAATCATATGGTATGAAAATTGATGATATAAATGTCTATTGTGATAAGTATGTCTTTGATGGACATTCAAAGAAGTCTCATGGTTACCGGAAGTGATTTAGGTTAAATTCGAAGGAATTGGAGATAACTCCAAATTCTGTATCTAGAGTCTGTCGTCCTAGATTAACAAATTTTTTAGTTTTCATGAAGAAGTTGAGGGCTAAGGAGCTCTCTATTGGGTTGCCTAATAACCTCTAGAATCTCCTAAAAAGTTCAAGAACGAAGGTCCCAAACGTCAAAGTCAAGTAAGTAGTCATCTTGGACTATTCTTAAGAATAGAAATCACTTAGAATTCAATATGAACCCTAAGGTAAGTATGATTTAAAGGAATACGGAAAAAAGAACCTAAACCATCTGTTTTGCTGATCAAGTAACATTAAAATAGCCACTAAACGAACTTTGATGCCCATGAAATTTTAATGGCTATTGGATAAGGCTAAGTAGATAAACCAATAATGACGTAAAATGACCATAATGCCCCTATAGTAAAATACATTCAATACATGACCCAAATGACTTTCAAATATTATGAAACTTCCTTATTTTAACAAAAATCTTGTTTCTCTATACCACCACTCGGAATCCACAGATTCATTGGACAACGCATGAGTTGTAAAAACTAATATTCTTATGTCCTTAAGGTTCCTTTGAGATATTTTAAGTCCAAACACCTTCCAAATGACCCAATATAGAACATAAAAGTTTACCTAATATTTTAAGAAGGTTGGATCAAATTTAGAACCTAAACCAAGTTAGGGGTATAAGTTAAGATTTGAGGAGAAATGCAAGACTACTCCTAATCTTTCTAGAATGTTCAAGAGCATGTTATGATCTTTGTGATATTTTAAATGACTTATGCATGGTATACCCATGATCTTTATAGGGCTTAAAAAGTAAGTCATGCCACAAGAATAACTCTTGAAGCAAGAAGTTAAGAACCCAAGAAACTAAGAAGAGAGCTGTAAAGACAAAAACCAAGAAAAAGTACACACGCAGTCCCTAGGTCCGCTAAGACAAGAAAAATGTTAGTATCACTCAAGAATAAAGGACCAAGGTCCTAAGACTCAGAAATTCAAAAACCCCTAAAACTCCCACAGTACAACATGTTCATGACTTAGACTACATCGCTTAGAATTTAAGAAACCTTGGAGGTAGATTTTCATATGACATTGCTTGGAACGTATGAAGCAAGTTTTAGACTATACTACTTTGAACATATGAAGTCTTGGGTGTAGGTATTCAGACTATGTTACTTGAAATTTATGAAGCCTCGGGCATAGTTTTTTAGACTCGTTGCTTGGAACGTGTGCACCTTAGACACAAGTTTCAGACTACACCGCTTAGAATTAAGAAGCTATGGGTGTAGGTTTCAAACTGTATCATAGGGAACACATGAAGTCCCAGATGCAACTTTAGACGAAGTTACTTAGAACACATGAAGCCTTTGACGTAGGTTTAGACTGTATCGCTTGAAACGCATAAAGCTTTGGACACAGGTTGCTAGGTTCCGGCCTTGTACCACAAACCTTAGGGGTGTCTGAATATGAGAAAAAAAAAGAAAAAAAAAAATCTATAACATCCCAGGGATAATAAATATTTTTGAATGCCGATAGAAAATATGGTAAGTCCTAATTTTATGAAAGCATTCTGCCGCCATTCTTTTAGCCTCTGGTTTTCGAAAACTTGTCGATACAACAACGCAACACTGCTTGTTCTTGGCAACTACAGCGGTGTAAACCAAATAAAAAACCGAAACTCCATTGACAATCTGAAATTCCACCAAACCCCTCTTTAACAAATGGATATTGCTTTCAAATCTTCGAGGTTTCTTCCCCTCAACAAGATACCCACTACGCGCATCGTTTCCCCACGTCCTTGTACCATTTCCGTCTTCCAATCCAAGCGCTTTGCTCCGATTGCGGCCCTTACAGCCTCCCCTGCAGCTGGATTGTCCGAAACATTCAACAAATTGAGAGAGCAGGGCAAGGTAAATGTCTCTTTGTACTGTTGATGGAATTGATTACGGAGAGCTATTAGATAGAAAATTAAAAGTATTAGGAACTGATTGGTTCTATCTGCTACTTTGTTTGTGGTCTGATGGGATTTTTTCATTGATCAACGTTGTTCTTACTGCATGCATGTTTTAAAGGTCGCATTGATCCCCTACATCACTGCTGGTGATCCTGATCTTTCAACCACGGCTGAGGCATTGAAGGTGCTTTCCACCTGTGGATCAGATATAATTGAACTTGGGGTTCCATATTCGGATCCCTTGGCAGATGGTCCGGTTATACAGGTTTTTTTTCCTTTCTTTTTTTCCTTCCATTTCTACATTTTTAATCTATTGTTTTTTATTCAGCTGTTTTATGAATGTTTTTCTGTAGGCTGCAGCCACTCGGGCCTTGGCTAGGGAGACAAACTTTAATGCAATCATTTCTATGCTGAAGGGGGTAATATTGTTGTAAATAATATCAGCTTCTTTTCCACTTCCACTTTTTGCTCTTAAATTATTTGATGCAATTGAATGAATAGCCTAAACTTATTTCGTTAGCTATTTCTAGAATGACTTGCAGTATGCAGATCCGTTATTAAGTGTAGCAACGAAATCATTTAGATGATAATGCATTTAAACAGGCTCTAAAGTTTTGTACTCAATTTGTTAGGAAACTGGGAGTTTACATGTTTTTTATTTTTTGCACATGGCATCTTCAAATCAAATGTCTATGGAAATATGTTACCAGTTCTATGTGGTTCAGTCCTTTAGCCCTTCATTCATGAAACTGAGTTTAACATGTTTCAATTTGTTTCTGGCTGGTCAGGTAATTCCTGAACTATCTTGTCCAGTTTCCCTTTTTTCGTATTACAACCCTATTCTTAAACGTGGCATTGAGAACTTCATGATGACAATTAGAGATGCTGGGGTACGAGGTAATTTAACAAGCTCGTCAAATCTTCTTCTATTAAATTAGATTTTTTTTTTTCGGATTAATATAATTCTGTCCTGCTTCCAAGATGACGTGCTAAAGGCTAGGCCAATAGTTAATTGATTCAAATGCTAGTTGGTCTTTGCTACAACTTGCATATAAATACTGTATTTAAAGCATCTTTATCCCAGTGAATGGAATGAAGATGAAAAGTTTGGTTTGGATGCCTAATCACTCGTTGCTAAAAGAACATGGTATTTGGAGATCCTTTTTTAAAATTTGTTTTCATTGTGCACTTAAGGGAGGCTATACTTCAATTGAGCTTGTGTAATTCCTAAATTTCCAGATTTGGTATTTGGAACAATTCCTTGTTTTGTATGGGACGTTTAGTGTACGGGTTCAATGTCTTAAGCTTGGAAGTGTAGTGGAGGGTTTACAAAATTTGTGGTTAGGTGCGGTTTTATAGGAAGCCAAAATTGAGGCCAACATGTGTGCAAGTTTCATGAGCCCAAGCCTAGGAAAACTATGTTTAGGAGTCAAGTTTTAGTAGTCTAGAAATTAGGACCATGAATTTAGGAAAATTGTGTTTGGGGTATATGTTTTAGAAGCTAGAGAATATGAAATGCAATGTGAGTTTTGGTTAGAGTTGTAACAGCCCAAGCCCACCGCTAGCAGATATTGTCTACTTTGACCCGTTATGTATCGCTGTTAGCCTCACAGTTTTAAAACGCGTATGTTAGGGAGAGGTTTCCACACCCTTATAAGGAATGCTTCGTTTCCCTCTCCAACCGATGTGGGATCTCACAATCTACTCCTCTTGAGGGCCCAGCATCCTCGCTGGCACACCGCCTGGTGACTGACTCTGATATCATTTGTAACAACCCGGGCCCACCGCTAGCCGATATTGTCTACTTTGGCCCATTATGTATAACTGTCAGCCTCACGGATTTAAAACGCGTTTGTTAGGGAGAGGTTTCCACACTCTTGTAAGGAATGCTTCGTTCCCTTCTCCAACCGATGTGGGATCTCACAAGAGTACTAGTTGATATAGGGATAGGAAAACAAAGGAAGATAGAGAAAGAGAGAGAGAAAGAAGGGAAAATGAGGTGTTGGGGTTCGGGGGACAAAAGGGGCGGAACGTAGAGGAAAGGAGGGAGAAGCGGGGATGGGTAACTATTTATGAAGTTTTGGGCATTCAAGTTTAGGGTCAGGTTACTGGTTAGGTGGCGGCGGCTTGAGCATGAGGCTACTACTCAAGCCTGTTCCCGACGATATGTGTTGGGCTTAACCTCATCCCAAGCCCAACCCCCTCTATGAGCAATAATGGGCAAACACGTTGGAACATTATATGTGTCTATTTGGATTCACCATTGATCATTGAACTATAGTCAATCAACTACATGATTGTTGTTCAAGGGCCTATTAACATAACGGTTGAAAAGAATATGTCAATACTCCTAATATTAGGTGGGTAGGGATGTTTGAATTCTTTATAAAATGGGAATATTGCATTTAAAGCTGTACAGAGTATTGCGTGAGTTGTTAGTATATTATTACCTGTTGCCAACCAAGCATGACTCAATGGATAAAAATACCAATTATCATCCTAAAAGTCGATGGTTCAACCCCCACCGTAACAATCGTTGAACTCAAAATATATTATTATGTGTTCTGTACAAAATCTTAACTTAGATTTTCTTGGTTTACACTATGGAAAATGTGTGACCTTTCTCAACCTTGGGTTTCTGAACATGTTTGTGATCATTTGCACTTTCTTGCAGGGCTTGTTGTTCCAGATGTTCCTCTTGAGGAGACTGCAGTTTTGAGAGAGGAAGCTGTGAAGTACAATATTGAACTGGTGATATTTTTTCTCATAATGGTTGTATAGATGATCTAAATCATTTTCTAGCTTTTTAGGTTTTGATATTTATTTAGTACTTTTACCTTAAGATATTGGAATCTGTTCTCTAGACCTCTAGAACATTGTCTAGCACATGAAACATTCCACGATTCTTGATAACTGCTTCATTGCAGTGCTAAAGATCAGTTTTATTATGAATTTAGACCTTGAGATTTATGTCTATTTGGTCCTTGAACTTTTAAAATTACAAATCTAGTCCTTAAACTTTTGAATTTTTTAAAATTCTTGGATCTACCTGACACAAAATTAGACATTAAATTCAAATATATATAGAGTAGATGTGACGCCCGAGTAAAGGAAGAGTACATGAATGAACCAAGACCACATTTGAATGAGAGTGATCCGGATGATAGAATTCTCGAGAAATGTTTAAAAGAATTGAAGTTACTACCTATACGAACAAGTGGCAGCTCAAGCATAGGACCTCAAGGTTAAGTGTGCTTTACTTTAAACAATTCTAGTTGGGTGATCTCCTAGGAATTTTCCTAAAAAGCATGTGAATGAGAAGAAAACATGCTTAAAGGACCTATGTTGGTTGTGGGAATAGTAGTCTTCACTCTTTAAAACGACAAACAGGTAATGTGGTCATGTCGCAGGGGATGTAGGGGAATGCTAGAGCAATAAGGTGTCGAATCCATATTTCAAGTCTTTATCCGAATCTTGGGCATAGGCAATGAATTTTTAAAAAATTTGAATTTTCAAGGACTTATTAGTAACAAAATTGAAAGTGCAAGGACCATTAGAACTAAAAGCTTAGGGACCGATGCACTTTTGAAACTTCAGAGACCAAATAGACAAATCTCAAAGTTGAAGAACTAAACTTGTGATTTAACTGTGATCCGAAGAAAAAATCTTTGGGAGAGGATATGAGAATAAACTTTGTTAATCACATGAATGATTAGCTGCTAATGCAGAAAACAGTTGCCTTGAATGCTAGAAATTAATTATATGAATCAATTGTTCAACTATACTAACCTGCATCCTTTTTCTATTGTCTCTGGGAGTAGAACCAACTTAATAAGGAAACGTATAGCCAATCCCTTGACTCATTCTTGTTATATTCACTTTTTCTGTAAGATAATTACTCGTTTAACCTTGAGTTGATTGCTTGTTCTTATTTATTTTATATTGTTCTTTTACATTGCTAAAGGTACTCTTAACTACACCAACCACGCCAAAAGATAGGATGAAAAACATCGTTGAAGCTTCAGAAGGATTTGTATATCTTGTAAGGCCTTTTCTGTTTTCTATCTATTTATATGCTCTAACTTTTGATTTTTTTCATCTCATTGGTGCCTCGGTGCCATTCATAAAAAGATGAAATTTAGCCAGTTTCTTTCTTTTTTGGAGTTAATATTTAAAAATTAACTCAATTCCACTCATATTTCTATAACAAAATCAGAAGAAAGGTGTTCATATTGAAGTTCTTTCTTCCAATTATTTTGCCAGTATTATGGCTGCATATCTAGTGTGTTCCAAGATTCATTTTCAGAATGATATTAGCAATGTGGGTGCCAATGAGACTTATCCTTTGTCATATTCCTACAAAGTGACATGCTAGAAAGTTGAGAAAGTTTAGACATCCAAGTTCGACCCCTATTTGTACAAGATCATTACCGAAGTTGTAGCTAAAAGACTTGAAAAGTTTCTTCCAAACTCGATATTCAATTTTGAAAACCTTTCATTGGGGAGAACAAATCATTGATGGGAGTATATTGTTTTGGCTGTCTTCACATACAAACAGAAATATAGATAGCCTAGAAAGAAAGAGAGGATTTTGACGAAAAAAATAATCATCTCTGTTGAGGATTGTTGGGGGGAGTTTCACGTTGGTTAATTAAGGGATGATCATGGGTTTATAAATAAGAAATATATCTCCATTGCTATGAGGCCTTTTGGGGAAACTAAAAGTAAAGTTATGAGAGCTTATGCTCAATGTAGACAAAACCATACCATTGTGGTGCGTCGTGATTCCTAACATGGTATAAGAGCCATGCCCTTAACATTGTTATGTCAATAGAATCTTCAAATGTCGAACGAAGAAGTTGTGAGACTTGAAAGTGTAGTCAAAAGTGACTCAAGTGTCGAACAAAGGATGTACTTTGTTCAAGGACTCCAGATGAGGGAGTCGAGCTTCGATTAAGGGGAGGTTGATCAAGGGCTCCATAGGCCTCAAGGGATGCTCTATAGTGTACTTTGTTCGAGGGGAGGATTCTTGAGGATGGTTGGAAGGGAATCCACGTTGGCTAATTAAGGGATGAACATGAGTTTATAAATAAGGAATACATCTCCATTGGTATGAGGCCTTTTGGAGAAACCAAAAGCAAAACTACGAGAGCTTATGATCAAAGTGGACAATATCATACCATTGTGGATGGTCGTGATTCCTAATGGTCTCAATCTCTTTTGTGATTATGAATTCCATTGTCAAATTAGAATTCCATTGTCATCTGTCTGGCTTGCAATATGAAATCTGTTGTCGTTCAAACTATAGGTGAGCTCTGTTGGAGTTACAGGTGCCCGCACATCAGTAAGTGGTAGAGTTCAATCTCTCCTTGAGGAAATTAAAGAGGTATGTCTGCTTAATACTGAATCTATGAAATGTACCTGAAATCTGTTGATGTTTTAAAAGGCATTGATTTGCAACTTAGAGGCCTCACATTCTGCTATCCACCACAGGTTACGGAAAAACCAGTAGCAGTTGGTTTTGGTATATCGAAACCCGAGCACGTGAAACAGGTAAAGAACTTGATCACATACCATAACATCCAATCAATTGTACAATATAATTGATATGTTGCTGCGTTCATAGGTGGCTGGCTGGGGGGCAGATGGTGTTATTGTTGGTAGTGCTATGGTGAAGCTGTTGGGTGAAGCCCAGTCCCCTGAGGAGGGTTTGAAGGAGCTTGAAACCTTCACCAAATCCTTAAGATCTGCACTCTCTTGATTGAATAACGGAGGGCTGTTTCTTTCATCTATAAACAGGTGCTCAAAATTACTCTTCAAAGATTTCCCTTTTCTTTTAACAGTCAATAAAACTGTCAGCTCATATTTTCTTTGAAGGTATTTGTCAATAATATTATGAGCAAATTTTCTAGATTCCATTAAGGGTTCTTCTTTAATACTATGTAATTTCTCCCGCTCCTCAAAAGCCTACAGGAATGGAGTTGATGCTCCCACATCCATAGCATGAGTAGTTAAAAGCAAGTGAATGATAGGCACACCTGCTAATCGACGGTTAGAATCATATCCTTCGAGGGCACCTAGTTCAAAGAGGGTTCCTCCTTACATCAACTCGTAGTGGAAAAAATAGAAAAAAGGATGCAAGGTAGCTTGCTTCTCTTTCCCTCCCCTATAAGTTAATCTCATCCACGTAAATACATGGATTTTTCAGTTCTAAAAAGGGCGTCAATCCTGCTATCCTGATTAGAAAGTAAAGTAGACCCTTTCGGAGTAGACTCCACTTCAACCACAACTTCAAAGAGACTCGGGCTAAACATTAGGTTCAATCACTGCTGCTATAACGAAAACATGGAACGCAACTTGATTTTGGGAAATAAGAATTAGAGAGTATCCTATGGAAAAGGAAGTGAATTGTGAAATATAATCGAAGAAATTTTAGACCGTGACTTAAAATAACTCTTCCTTAAAACACCCCTAATAAAAAAAATGAGATATTAATAAAAATAATATTATATATAAACAATTGAGGACTCTTCATACAAAGTTGAGATGAAGTCTAACACATGACCATTATAAAGTTTCGAGAAATAGTTTTGCAGAAGTTTAAACTTGAAATTGATGTAAAAAATCGAATACATTGGTGACAACAATTTAACAATTAGGTAAGTGACCTTAGGGTTGGAGTTAACAAATTAATTGATGTATGATGGTGTATGCCCGGTGGCTCATGCATGTACCATATTAATTATGTGATGCTTTTATGCTCTTTGCATTGTCATGTGATGTATGTCATGTATGCACATGATTTCCATTACTGTAACGACCCGACTTATCATATAAGTAGCGGTAAGGGTCGTTACGAAAAATAATATGATTTATTTGGAAAAGAATGAAAACCATGAAAAAACGATCATTTATTAGAAATAAGTGTAGGGGTACATTTATTTGGAAAAGAATGAAAACCATGAAAAAACGATCATTTATTAGAAATAAGTGTGGGGTACCCCTTTCAAAAATTTAAAAAACAATGCTCCTAAAAATATTCATCAAAGTAGGAAATTTAAAACTAAAAAGAAATCAAAGATATTGATGTGACAGCCTAGTTCAAACTAGGCGTCTACAACATATTTCCTTTTGATTTTAAATTTCCTACCGGATGTCCTTTTGATTTTAAATTTCTTACTTTGTTTTGAATATCTTTAGGCGACATTGTTTTTAAAATTTTTAAAGGTACCCTATACTTGATTTCTAATAAATGATCATTTTTTTTCAAATAAATTACATTATTTTTTGTAAGTGCCCTGACCGCTACTTATATGATAAGTCGGGTCGTTACAAATGGTATCAGAGCCAGACATCGGACGATGTGCCAGCCTTCTCGCTGTTCCCCGAATGGGGGTAGACACGAGGCGATGTGCTAGTAAGGACGTTGGGCCCCAAAAAGGGGTGGATTTGGGGGCGGTCCCACATCGATTGGGGGAAGGAAAGAGTGACAGCGAGGACGCTGGCCCCGAAGGGGGTGGATTGTGATGTTCCACATTGATTGGGGAGGAGAACAAACCACTATTTATAAGGGTGTGGAAACCTTCCCCTAGCAAACGCGTTTTAAAGCCTTGCTTTGAGGGCAAGCCCAAAAGGGAAAGCTCAAAGAGGACAATATGTGCTAGCGGTGGATCTGGGTTGTTACAATGTATTGTAAGGCCCAATAACAAAATAAGAGTTATAAAAAAATAAGCTCTAGGGTTTAGCATTGCAGCGAAACCCTTAGCCAGCCACCGCCCGCCCCTCTTCCTTCTTTCTGTCGCCGCTGGCCGCTCGTCCTTCTTACTGCCGTTGCCGCTGCCCTTCTCTCTTTTTCACTTTTCTTCCTTAAGCCGCTGCCACCCAACGTTCACGGTCCCGCAGTCGATTGTTTCCCACACCACTCTGTGCCCCTTGTTAGGTTATGGAGCCTTGGTCAATGGTTATATCCGATAAAGCTATATATAGTAAAGCTATATATTGTAAAGCTATATATGGTAAATAGCTATATATATATATATAGTAGATGGCTAAATCTGGTAAAGCTATATATATAGTAAACTAAACCATATATATATCTCGTCCGGTAGAGCTTTGAAGATGTACTTTTCTATTCTCTGTAATTCTCTCTTACTGTACATACGTGAAGTCATCAATACGAAAAAATCCTTTTAGCCAGAGTTCTCCTTGCAATTTTCTCTATCCCATTCTTTGTGTTCATCTAGATCGAGTGTGTGCGTTGTTGTGCGATCCCAACAACTGGTATCAGAGCTAACGACTGGTATCGATCCCCAACCACTAGTATCAGAGCCAGGCAGAAGTCAGAGCCAGGCAAAATTCACCACGATCTGTGAAGATGGAAAGTTCAAAGATTGAAACTGAGAAGTTCGATGGATCTGATTTCGGTTTCTGGAAGATGCAGATTGAAGATTATCTGTACTAGAAAGATCTTCACGAACCTCTGTTGGGGGTGAAGCCTGATACCATGACCACGGAACAGTGGAAGCTCAAGGATCCACGAGCCTTGGGGCTGATCCGGTTGACGCTATCCAGAAACGTGGCGTTCAACATTATCAAGGAGAAGACAACGTCAGGTCTGTTGAAGACGCTGTCGAATATGTACGAAAAACTGTCGGCTATGAACAAGGTGTATTTGATGCGAAGATTGTTATGAGTCCTTGTGAGAACTGCGTTACGAGCAAACAGAAATGAGTTAGCTTCATAAAGACTGTTAGAGAATTGAAGAAAAGTACCGGAAGCGTCGCTAAAACTCCAAAGAGGGGGTTGGGTCGGCCGGAAGCGTCGCTAAAACTCCAAAAGGGGTTGCATCGACCAGAAGCGTCGCTGAAACTCCAGAGGAGGTTGGGTCGGCCAGAAGCGTCGCTAAAACTCTAGAGGGGGTTGCGTCGCTGAAACTCTAGAGGGGGTTGCGTCGCTGAAACTCCAGAGGGGGTTGCATCGCTGAAACTCCAGAGGGGGTTGCGTCGGCCGGAAGCGTCGCTGAAGCTCTAGAGGGGGTTGCGTCGGGCGGAAGCGTCGCTGAAACTCTAGAGGAGGTTGCGTCGCTGAAACTCCAGAGGGGGTTGCGTCGGCCCGAAGCGTCGCTGAAGCTCCAGAGGGGGTTGCGTTAGTCGGAAGCTGCGTCGCTAAAACTCTAGAGGGGGTTGCGTCGGCTGGAAGCTGCGTCGCTGAAACTCTAGAGGGGGTTGCGTCGGCCGAAAGCGTCGCTGAAACTCCAGAGGGGGTTGCGTCGGCCGGATGCGTCGCTGAAACTCCAAAGGAGGTTGCATCGGCCGGAAGCGTCATTGAAACTCCAGAGGGGGTTGCGTCGGCCGGAAGCTGCATCGCTGAAACTCTAGGGGTTGCGTCGGCCGGAAGCTGCATCGCTGAAACTCTAGAGGTTGAGTTGCTGGAAAAATTCACATAGTGATGTTGCAGCGGATACTCAAGAAACTCCTGAAACTCTTGCTGAGAAACCAGAAGTGAAGCAAGTGGGAGTTGAGGTTGAGTTGCTGAAAGATTCACATAGTGATGTTGTAGCGGATACTCAAGAAACTCCTGAGACTCTTGCTGAGAATCTAGAGGTGAAGCAAGTGCGAGTTGAGGTTGAGTTGCTGAAAGATTCACATAGTGATGTTGTAGCGGATACTCAAGAAACTCCTGCTGAGAAACCAGAGGTGAAGCAAGTGGGAGTTGAGGTTGAGTTGCTGAAAGATTCACATAGTGATGTTGTAGCAGATACTCAAGAAACTCCTGAGACTCATGCTGTTGGCGAGGAACCCGATCTATCATTCAAAACACAGAAAGCGATACCATTTCACTCGGAGGTTCGTTGAAGATGGTGACGTGTTTGGAGAAGATAGAGGGTGCAAAGAATCCAACAAACATGTTGACAAAATGTGTTGATGTTGGAATATTGAGGTTGTGCAAAACCTCAATTGGTATGGTGTAGTGAAGATGCTCATGGTCGTTTGAGTGTGAAATTCTTGGTTGACTAGATCAGTCTCCAAGTGGGAGAATTGTTAGGTTATGGAGTCTGCTCCTTATTTATAGCTTGGTCAACGGTTATATCCGGTAAAGCTATATTTAGTAAAGCTATATCCGGTAAAGCTATATTTAGTAAAGCTATATACAGTAAAGCTATATATGGTAAATAGTTATATATAGTAGATGGTTAAATCTGGTAAAGCTATATATAGTAAACTAAACCATATATATATCTCGTCCGGTAGAGCTTTGAAGATGTACTTTTCTATTCTCTGTGATTCTCTCTTACTGTACATACGTGAAGTCATTAATACAAAAAAATTCTTTTAGCCAGAGTTCTTCTTCAATTTTCTCTATCCCATTCTTTGTGTTCATCTAGATCGAGTGTGTGCGTTGTTATGCGATCCCAACAACTGGTATCGATCCCCAACACCCCTTCCCACATCAGAAAAACCCCGCCTAGCACCCAAATCGCCGCCGCGAGGGAACGCCATCGTCATTGCCAGATCCGACATCAAAAGGATTTAAACGCTTACATAGGAAGAAGGCTCAGTTCGAGGGGAGTCGGACTGACGTTGATTAGGAAAGGCCAAGAAAGCAGATCCTCTAGTAAGGGACATGCCTATTGAAACTAAACGTTTTGTTTTTTTGAAAAATGGGTCAAACATAATTGTCCTATGGCTAGGTGCTGTATAATCTGATTGCCGAGTGTAATTTGATTGTTGTGTGTGTAATCTGATCGCTGTGTGTGTAATCTGATCGCTCTGGGTAATTGTGTGTAACCTGATTGTGGTGTAATATGGTTAGGTTGTGTTGTTGTGTAACCTGATTGTGGTGTAATATGGTTAGGTTGTGTTGTTGTGTAACCTGATTGTGGTGTAATATGGTTAGGTTGTGTTGTTGTGT